CGCTGCTGAGGCGATGGGGCGCTTCCCACATGAACTAACCAGTCCTCTCGTTGTATTCGAGTCGATGAAAGATCCGTCGTCCATTCTTGCGGGGAGTGTGTCACACCTGTGAGGTATGGGTACTTGTTTCCGACCTTCTGTGTTCCCCAATCTCCTGGGAGGGAGGTGAACAGTTGCAGGGGGGACTTTGGGGCGAATACACTTTTGGGGTGCAGGTCCTTAGGCCAGAACTAAAAAACAAAGAAATAGGAGAATGAGCAAGAGCTCCAGCCACGTTTAGAATGTCGCTGGCAGATTTGCCTCCAGCTGTGATGCGGGTCACTCACACGCCAGTGGGAGAACCAGACCCCATCACGTTATAAATCTTCTGTGTCCTTGAGATGTGGTGTCGTTGTGGTGCCATGAAATAGTGTAAGGCAGTTAGTCTGGGCTGGCAGCAGGCAGGGGCGTCTTCTCAGCTCTAAGAGTAAAGGCAGCAGAAGCGAGTGTGGTGTTCACGACAAGGGTCACCAATCGTGGTGTACTGTTGTGGCTGGTTTATCAGAATTCTCTTTATATGGTCTCTCCTAACACCCTTGCATTACATGTAATATATACTTACTCAGGATTAGGAGTGGGGCCAAACTCACAATGCATTTTTTCTGAGGCGTGTGGTGAGCTGCTGAGAGATATTGCTGGTCGTGGCTGAGTGTAGAGTGTCCTTCGGCCAGCCCGAACTATAGCTATGTGATTTAAAAGCACCAGGATTTGGGCGCTCATGTGCCCGAGTAATCAGGAAGGCGTAAAGTGTCAAACTCCTGATCCTGAGCTGGAAGTTGAAGGTCGAGACTTCATTCGGCGTCGTGCCCCCACCACTGCATGGGCTGGAGTCTCCGGCGTGGCTGGCTATGCAGCTGATTGGCGCAGCAGACTGCCTTGGCAGGGAGCTCAGTTGAGGGATTGTGGGAGAGGATCCCACTGCAACCTCACCTGCCCTCCATCCCTCCCAGCCAGGGTGAAGGTGGTTTTGAGCAAGTTTTATCATAAATGTTTAACAGCTAGACTTGTGAGAACCTGCTTGTACTGCTGGAATCCTTGTAAGATAATGATTAATTTGAGTATAAACATCACAAGAGATAAAATTTGTAGTCTTTTAATTGTAATGCATATAGGTACAAAGTGTGTACAGTAATATGTTGCTCAAAATTATGAATTTTCTCCATTTAATTTACATTTAACATCTGTTTTAATTTAAGTTTCTAACGGAGTCCATAAAAAATTTGCGGAAGGTGTATGATTAGTAGGTCAGAAGGTGTATTATTGAATTTTATTACCTGACCTCAGTTGGTCAACAAAAGCGGATAATCGGCAAGAGCTTTGGAACCAAAGAATACTGCAGAAATCAGTGGTATACCTGTATTGGGTTCCCTGTAGCAGTGTTCTTGAAGTATATAAAGAGTACTACTTTTCCCTTTAGGGCCTTGAACTTAGGATCATCAGAATGCCTGATGAAGGGGACTGTAGGTGGCTCCTGTCCCGGTGGAGTGAAGGGAAGGCCCAGGCTATGAGGGTGGGAGGAGTGATGCAGATGTGCAGCTGGGCTGGTTGGTGAGTAGAGGCAGGGAGTGAAGGGAGGAGGGAGGATCTCAGCATTGTTCAAAAACATTGTTATGAATAATTGTTTGGTTTTCTTTTAGTTCTTTATAAATTTCTGATAAGGTTGAAAACATTCTCGAAAATTCTGCTTCGTTTGATACTTAAATTTTAATTCTGATGGGTCATAGCTGATCCTTATCTGTTAAATATTTGGCACACCCTGAAAGTCATAGCCTCAATCCCATACGCTTAAAACCTTCTCCATCTTTATAAATACCTTTATCACGTATATGATGTGTAACTAGCACTGTGTGGGCACACTATACTAACATTACTATACTAATTTCCTTGCTTTTCATCTTTTACTGGAATGAACAGTTGACTCATTAACTAAGCCTTATGACCAACGGCTTGGCTGACACACACTCATGCAGCTGTCAAGTTTATCAACACTTCTCGGTACCTGTTTAAGTCATGACTCTTCATTCTCTTTATCAGATCTTACCACCACCCAGTTAATAACCTTTTGAGACCATGACAGTCAAAATTAACATTAGAATTGCTCTCCAGAGCTGAGACTGGCGGATGATGCAGGGAGAAATCAGACACTTCGGCTGTCGGAAGGGAACAGCCACGATGCAGTTTTAGAATAAAGCACCATACCTTTTGCTGGCTTACTTTAATAGATAAAAGCTACAGGGTTGTTTCGTGGATAGTCGAATTTAGAGTTGAACTTACTTAAGTTGAGAATTGCTGGAGTACTGTACAGTACTACCTCTTTATCGACGGATTTTTTGTCAGCGGTTTGCTATTGGCGGATTTTGGCTATTTGAACTCTCGGGCCTTGTTTGTACTTTAAGTATAGATGACCGTCTTCTGACCCTTCCTAAACATCAGCCAAGCCGCGTGGGCAACAGTCTTTGATTTTCCAACTTTTGCTGGTGGGTTCATCATAACCTATCCACCATGCCTCCCAAACGACCTGCTGCTCCCTCTGGATCTACCTAAGAGGCAAGGCAGTGCTGACTGAATGAGGAAGAATGAGGGAGTGCTGGGCGCAACTGAAACGGCGGTATGAGCTTCTGTCAGCTGTTGGCCGCCACTTTAGGCTCCATGAATCCCAGTGTCGCGTGGAGATTAAACGGCGTGCAAAGGATCTGAAGCATTTCGCTTCAAAGTACCATTTGACATCAAAGTGAAGCAAACATGTGTGTGATGGTACCCTCATTAAAATGGAAAAAAGCACTGAACATTTGGATAGAGGGACCTAAACACGCCATACATACCAAACAAAGGGAATTTATTGGGCAGCCCAAGGAACTTTATGAGGTTTTCTGGTGTGATGATCATGGTGTTGGTGATGATGGTGAAACGATGATCAGGGTGATGGTGATAATCAGGGTGATGGTGACAATTTGAAAAATTTGCAGCTAGCAAAAGGATGAACGAAATTCAGGGCGCCGTTATGGGCTGCATAATATAAAAATGACTGGCGAAAACAACATCAGCGAACACTGTGGGGAAACGCCACCCTGCAGGAGTTTACCTAACCACATAGCACAAAAGGTTATAGAGGCCGGAACAAGTTTTTAATGCTTTGTTTGAGACAGGCCTATGGTGGGAAAAAGATGTACGCCAGACCTACATCTCTAAGAGAAAAAAAGTGCTGGATTTAAAGTTGCGAAAGGACATTAACAGTATGATGTTATGTGAAGATCTTGACGGGGCATATGGAATAGCCCATGTTTTGTTATACACTGCACATATAAAGGCTCTCAAAAAATAAAAACGTGAACTTGCTACAGTTTCTGGGAACAACAGAAGCGTGGATGACATCTCTGATTTATTAAATGGATTGGCTGAAACTGCTTGCTAGAGAGGTGAAAAAATTATCTGGATGAACTTGGCATGGAGTTCAAGTGGTATTATATCTAGATAATTGCCTGGCCACTCTGAAGAACTCAAGACCCACCCCAACATTGAGGTGGTTTTCTGCCAAAAAGCCCACCCACCTCCATCATCCCAGCCAATGGACCCAGGGAGTCATTGTATTTTAAGGCTAAATAACTCACAGAGAAGACTTTCAGCATGATTAAGTGAGTGCCTTGATAAGGATGCTGATGTGACACCCAGAGAGAAATGTGGAAGAAATTTGATGCACAGTGCATAAACTTGCTGGCACAAGAAAGCCACAATGAATATACTTGAGACTGTGTCCGATCATGTTGGAAAAAATTGTGGCCTGAAGTGTCCCAGCATTCACAGGGGTTCCCAACAGCAGGCATCAATTCATAACATATAACCAACACCATAGCAGAAATGCTGATTTGGAGGTGAAGGGTTCTCTATTTCTTAGCGGCAGAGGTGCAAGAGTTATTTAGGAAATGGCCAGGGGATCCATTTACAAGTGATGAACCTTCTAGAACAATTGAGTGGAGCTGCAGGATGAAACAGAAGATGAAGTGAGTGATGATGGCAAGAGCTTAACTTTAGATAATCTTGGTGAAGTAATAAAAGAATGAAGTAAAGGCCCTCTGCTCGTCTCTCGGCGTGATCCTCCTTGATAGGTCCCTTAAAGCAAAGGCTATTGAAATGTTATGATATATAGAACTGCAGAGAAATGAAGCAAGAGAAAGCACAGACCACCATCACCAACAACCAAGTCATAATTTTCTCCTTGAACCTGCGACACCTCTATATAAGGCATTAGAAGCTGCCGGCACCTCACAACAACAAGATGCAGTACCTGCCCACACCCCTCAAGAAGATGCAGACTTTGACTAATCATACTCATCTGACTGGTCAGGCTTTTAATAAGCCTCAATCATCACACTTGTATATACTGTATTGTTTACTGTAAGGACCGATGTTCACTTCAATAAATGAAATCGTAAGTTTGCTAGTATTTTTGTCCACTTTTTATATTATTATTTATACACTATTATTTAAGGTTATGTGTAAAGGAAATGCATTAATGCTTAAAGGTACATTTATTCAACATATGCTAATAATAGTTAGAAAAATTACGTAACCATCACGGTATCGACGGTTTCTTTATCGACGGCCGTTTACAGAACGTAACCCCCGTCGATAAAGAGGGAGTACTGTACTGTATATGTACAGTGAGCTACTTTAGTGCTATGTCTTTGAACTTTGGTTTTAGAGTGTTTTTGGTGTTTTGAAGGGAGGGGGGGAGGATTTTATGGGGTATACCTGACACATCCCCTTGTTCTAATGGGTTTGCTTTACATGGCGTTTTCTTTGAACGCAACCCGTGCATTAAGTGAGGAGGCAGTCTATTGGATGGGATAAGTGACGTATAGCATATAATTTGGTGTATTGATTGAATAAGTTTAATGACAAATGATAATAAGTTGATACCTTGGTGACATATGTATCAAATTAATTCCTGTCTTATTTTCTAGGCACTCAGCATGTCATCTGAAGACAACATGACAGCTCTAGTTGTGCCTTTTGGGTCTTGGGGAAAATATACAAAATCAGCATCTATGTTCTTTTCCTTTGGTATTGGAAGGGATATGAACAAAAGCAGTAGATTTGGATAAAGATGAAGAAGGATATTTTTTAGAATAAAATTTAATTAGGTATGTGATATTGGCTCTTTGTGTAAAACATCATTTCATTAAATGCAAGTAGTAAATATATGCATATTTTACTGTATTATGTTTATAAACTCAAGGGTTGTCATTAATAACAAAACAGCGTAGAACCTTGCAAGCACTTTTAAGAGTTCAGGATATTTGTAAATTTCCCACAGTGCATGTGAATTGCACCATGTTGTACTTTTGAAAAGAATTTAGCTTAAAAGTTTTCACATGGTGATTTAATACTTAAGGGTATACAGGTTGACAACACTTTATCCGAAATTCCAAAAACCGAAAAGCTCTGAAAACCGAAAGTTTTTTTGTGGAGCAATTTTTTTGGGGGGGAGGGGGGGGGAGGGGGGTATTATCCCACCCGGGCACAGGTCACTGACCCACATCGGGGCCTGGGGGGTGAAAATGTAATAGTAATAGTAATAATAATAATACGTAATAATGATAATACATTAATAATAGTAATTATTCATAGTAAATAAAATTTTTAATAAAAAATACACAAAAATAAAATAAGAATTATAACAAAAATAATAATAACAGTAATACTGTAATAATAAAATAATAATAATAATAATAATAATAATAAAGAAATACAAGAATGAAAAAAAGATCAAAAGTGAGAAACACGACCTTGACCTATGAATTATTATTATTATTATTATTATTATTATTATTATTATTATTATTGTTTTTTTTTTTTAGCTAGCCCCAATGTGAGTCAGTGACCTGTGCCCGGGTGGGCTGATCCTGTAAAAAAAAAAACTTCCCATTCTGAAAACCGAAAAATTCCAAAAACCGAAATGCATCTGGTCCCAAGGATTTCGGATAAGGGATTGTCAACCTGTAATAGTATTTTGTTCCACTGAGTTGTTAGGGTAGACTACTGTATAGTTAAAGTATGCCATGCTACATCACATTTATTGTAGACAGGAAATTTATTTATTTATTATTTTATTGTTTTCTTTATAGCTAGAGGAAAAATATAAGTACTACATGAGTTAGGTAAGAAGTGTACCTGAAGCTAGATTTAATAGTAACTACATAATATAGTTATTAGTACTGTATACCTTACCCTTTATATTAATGTACTGTACGTATATTTATTTTCATTATTTGAAGTTCGGTATATCACACACATACACCTAGTACCATACATATACATTTATATTTGTATATAGATAGACAGTACTGTATAAAGCTCAACAACTTTTAGTCCAGAGTTTCTTTGAAGTAGATGTGACCAACAAAATAAATATACATTACTGGTAGGTACAAGTACGGTAACAGTTATTTGGATAAAATAATGCATGAAATATCCACTAATATACGAGTCAGTGTGTTGTGATTTATATTTAAAAGAAGGTACAAAATTTGATGGAGGAACATATTATGCAACCAAAAGAGTGAGAATTAATCTGATAAATTATTCTGTGTGTTGTCAGATATAATGGGATATTAGTTTAAATATAGTAAACATCAGAATTGTCCACATAGGTTGATTTAAAATGTTGCATAAATGGATCAGATTACCTGTATACCTGATGACTGATGAGTGACAATGAGAGCTTTTAGTTTTTTAATTGAATTCGTTAATTGATTGATTAGTATACTTATAAACTATTGAGGTTAAATATAATCTGACACACAAGAAATTAATAAAAATCCATTTACAGATTGCTACTTTCCTTTTGACCTTATAGAGTGAATTGTTTGAGAGATATACCAGGTGACGTGAACCCTTCAACAGTGAGACAGGCATCAAGGGTTTTCCATTTCCATCAGTTTTGAAATTTGAGTGATTGAAATTAATTTGAATTGTTCGGTGTATGTCATTCGGTATAAATCTTTTATTGTACAGTCAACCCTCGCTTTACGCGGTCCCACTTTACGCGTTTCCACGCTTATGCGGTACCCTGCTGAAACCGGAATGCTCACTTTCCGCGGTGTGTGTACCCTTTTACGCGGAGAGCGGCGCGAGCAGGGTGCGCACAAGGTTGCCCAGTCATCAAAACATTACCGAGTTCTTCACCCGCCACCCACCACAGCCGGCCCAAGTCAGTGATAGTGATAATGATAGTGAGGATATGGACTTATATGGACTTTGAGGGGTTTGACAAAGAGGCCCTGCAAGCCTCTGTGGTGGATAGTAATACAATTGATACAAGTGATACAGGTGAGGGCCAATAATCTGCCCTCTGCCTCGGAACCAACCCCCCCATCCCCGTGTGCCCAGCCATCTTTTCTGCTAATGTAAGTGTTAAAAAACCTAATATTATTGATATTTCTCTTAATTATTAATTGTGTGTGCATACCATCATAAAATTAAGAAGTTATTTTTACTACAACGTAGGTATTGTGTCTGAAAAAGTGGAGTTTGGGGGTCGGCCCGGTCTCTATTTCAATTAATCCCATATGTTCTGTTGTTCACTTTACGCGTGTCTCACTTAAAGCGGGCCGCCGTGGGTTGAATTAACCACGTAAAGTGAGGGTTCACTGTACTGTATTTCCTATGTGGACCAAGGTTTACCAGTGGATGTGTTGTCCTTGGATTTTCTAAGGGATTTGATAAAGTTCCACATGCATGGCTAGCCTCTAAGACCCAGGCATATGTTGTCATAGACAAAATATTGAGGTGGATTAAGTATTGGCTCGAAGACATCCAACAAAGAGTTGTAATAAATGGAGTACAGGCAAAATGGAAAAAGTTCCTGAGGAGCACCACAAGGATCTTCCCTTGGTCCCACCCTGTTTGTGGTCTAAATTTATGAATTTGATGAAAATATATTGAGTCACATTAAAGTGATAAGTCAAGATGCTGTAACCATGCAAACCTTACATTGAGTTCAAATGGTTCCATGACTGGCTAATACTTTTTTACCATTACAAAATGTAAGGCTTTGCATGTGGGATACAACAACTTGAATCACAATTATTCTGTGACTGACACTTTCTTGGATACTGTTGATAAGGAAAAACCTACTGTAGATATCCTGATTGATAAATTTCTGAAGGCAGCAGAACAAGTGAGAGTGGCATTGAAAAAAGCCAGCCAAATTTGAGGAATTATATGTAATATTTCAAATACTGTACAAATATAAGAAAGTGATCAATAAATTTTACAAGTCTCTCATATGTCTCCATCTAGATTACTGGGTAATTATTTGTTTTAGCACACCCTCGAATTTTTTCACGAGATGTTTGATATCTGATGTGTTTTGTTCAGATCTGACCTTCGTATCCATGGGAAATGCTTTATTTTTTAAAGAAAGATGCAAGTCATCCTTGATAAAAAACGACTATTTTCCATCATAAACGAAGGTGACATATGAACAAAATACATCCAAATACATCAGAAACCAAACATCTCGATCCCTAACTTTCACTAAATTAACCTACCTTAACCTAACCTCACCTAACCCCTGAGGAGAGTCCTAACCCCAGCGGGGCGGAAAACGCCTTATTTTTTACTTATGTTAATGTGCTGTGTTGGATGTTTATACATTTGGGCAACAACCTGGAGGAAGTGGTGTGCAGTCTCTCCTGCTTTGGGTACTCAATATTGAAAAGTTCCCTGGCAAGGTGTTTGGGGTACACTTTGACCTTGTTTCCAAACCAGAGGATCCAAGGCTTCACGTCTCGGCAAGCATGTTCAATATTCTGAAAAATTTGCACACCATCCGAGGAAAGAAATTCCAACGAGGGGTTCACAGTGTGGTGGTTGTACCCTTCCTGACGTAAGGTTAGGTAAGCGCACCACTCGTTGGAATAGATTGTAGTGCCAGGTAGAACGTACTGCTTGATCAGTCTGATGAGAGTTTCCCTGCATCACCTTTGAACCGGGAAAAGAAGCAGCCTCTTGCTCCCCTGCACCAGGGCCCCCCAAATCCACGGCCCTTCAACTACTCGTCCACGGCCGTATTTTCTCTTTCCAAACTTGGACTCATTAGTTTCAACTATTTTCCCAGGGCCACTGATTTGACACTGCGCACTGAACCAGTACTTGCAGACCTCGTAACATAAGCTTTTCCAGTTCACGACTGTTTCACTGTTCATGGAAGATTGCCCTGGACGTCTTGCTGAGTCTGGTTCTTTTAAAAAAAAAAGCAATGAACAGCAAGTTCACATTGGGTGTAATATGAGACCTTTCAAAGAAAGTGCCTTTGTAGGGGCTGACGGAGAAGTCACAGCGCCTCTTCCTCGACCCTTTATCACGAGTAATTTTGACAAAAAAAAACGCCAGAAGATGAATTGAAATGACATGCATTGTCACAGGTAGGGCACTTCACTTCTCGCGGGATCACGTTGTGTGCCTTAAAAATCTCAGTTGTAGCGTCGTCTTTGTTAAAAATATCCTGAACGTGCTGAAAGAACTGGGCAGAACACCTCACCACAGGCCATAGCTACTAGTAGGCTGATTTTGAAATTTGGGCCAAACTCCCGGGGTTTGAAAAGATGCAATGCTATTGGCCATTGTTCAAATTTGTCTGCTCTGATTGGTTCTTTTGTTTTTATTCCCTGGCGCTAGAGAGCGTTCGTGAGGTCAGGGAAGGGAGCAGAGGCAGGCAGTGTGATGCCTCACGGCTCCAGACATTTCATGGTGGGACAAGAAATGGCGGGTGGAGATTTATTGTGAGATTTTTCTGAAAGAAACACATTTCCAATAGGATTCAAGGGTTGAGGAATGTATACATGGGGTAGAAATTCCCTTAAAGTAAGTGCTTCTATGCGATTTGAAGATGTGCTAAACTTAATAATCAATTACTGTACTGTATACCAGCAGCGGCTCATGCCTAGGACAGGGCTGGATTCAGGAGTAGGCAAAGTGGACAGCTGCCCAGGGGCCTCCACATATTACAATATTTTATTTATTTGTTTATTCATTTGGATTATTTTTATTTTCATTCTTTAAAATTCATGTTTATCTATCACTTTTGTGTGTGTGTGTGTGTGTGTGTTGGGAATTTGTACACTATCAATAAAAATACAGTTAATTAAAAATTTCTCAATGTTCTAATTTCCTCAATATAACTGCATATGGCTTCAAAATTCTCCAAAGAAGTGTTCAAATTTCAAAATTTTCCCGGGGGGATTATAGCGCCCCCCGGAACTCCCAGATGTTAGGCTCGCTTCACTCTCCACCCCACCCTCTTAGGTAGCTATAATGAGGGGGGCCTCCACAAAGAGGCTGCCCATGGGCCTCCACAGGTCTAAATCCGGCACTGGCCTAGGAGCCGCGGACCCCCAGACACTCACTGCCAGGCATATGAATCCTTCAGACACACAGCAGAATAATACACTACTGTACTAACAAATATAT